AGGAGCGTGAGTGCCACTCCCCTAATACGTTACTCTTCAGAGAACAGCGGTGTTGAGCCATCTCAGCTGCTGGAACTCTACAAAACGGTAAATGCCACATGCCCACATTTAACTATTGTTGGCATTATGTGCATTGGGAGGTATGGACATGACCATACCGTTGCACCTAATCCGGATTTCCTGGTGCGTCTTACACAGCTGTAGATGACTCTTCATAGGAGCTTGTAGCCTGTCGACAGCTGCTGTGCGACAATTTGGGACTAAAGCCGGAAGATATTGAGCTTAGCATGGGAATGTCTGCGGATTTTGAGCACGCGGTTTGTTGTATAACTTCGACTTACCATAGCTACTAGATTCAACTCGGCAGCACCGTTGTGCGGATTGGGACAACAATTTTTGGCGAACGTTCTCATTGACCGAGCTCTAATAACCCTCTCCTTCCTTGTTTCAGTGTCACAGCAATGTCGGAAACTGCTGGAGAAGATGCGTCATCTTTGCCACTTGGTGAAGATGGAAGACCTCTAAAACCTTGCTGCGCTTGTCCGGAAACTCGTTTGTTACGTGACCAATGCATTTTAGAAAATGGTGAATCCATGTGTACACAGTACATTGAAGCTCATAAAGAGTGTCTTCGTAGATTAGGCTTTAGGATCTAATTTATTTGTACTATACGCCTTAAATAAAACCACTACCTCTAGACTTCGTTTTTTATTAAAAGCAGTTACGCAACCACTAACGCACTCGTCGCATTTTAAGTAAAATGGATCGAACGATTGGCGCACGTTTTCGAGTTACCGGGGCCATGCTTCCGAATCTAGTTGGACGTGATGTTTGTGTCGTTGGTACTGTGCTCAATGTCGCGTCCACTGGACAGCGGCTTCGCTTACGATGTGTGGACGGGCGCGAAATTGATTGTTACCTCCAGTCGCAACTTCAGGTGGGTTTAACATGCAATCTTTTATTTTCCCCGGTGTGCTTAAGGTTTTCGTTTGGTGTTCTGCACATCAGCTGAGTTGCTTCCGTCTAGCTCAAACCAGAGGAAATTATATCGTTCTCCATTTATCCGATGTCATAATCGATTGTTACTAGTCATTTTGTGAGAAAGTCTAAGGTAGTCCATTGTCAAGTTGTGAAATTGCTGACAAAAATCCGTTGTTCGAACCCAACCCCAGTACCTTAACTGCTCCCGTCTAGGCCTGGGCAACGCCGTAGTATCTCAACCCGTGTGCTTCTTTCGACTGGCATTGCAGTTAGGCACCGAGTGTTTTTTCATTCTGAGACAAAGTGATTAGGACGGATTGGTGCTACAATGGTAGCAGTGTTAGACGGTCTTACTGTCATGGTTAGATCAACGCCCTAAGTAAGTAGTCTACATTCACCACGACATTTCCAAACCTTACTACGTGGCAACTAAAGTTCCGGAGGAAGCTTTGTCACTCCGAAGTCAATTTCTCAGGAATATTGGGTTTACTTCGTTGCACCCGTTAAGACGATATTGTGACGGTGACCCACCATGACCCATTGAGCTATACTGGGGACACTTGACACTCTCAGTCTGTCATGCTAGTTTAATCGATCATTAGAGGTCTCCAGGTCCTCCAGTTTAGAGGTTGGAACATGCGTGGCCATTTGCTATTTGAACTCCTGAATCGTTGGGTTGAACACTCAACAACAATTTAGTTGTTCAGCCGAGTTACCAACCCACAGTGGAGTTGGAACCTGATGACTTTCGAGATAAACGAATGCATCGTGCCCATCAAGCGTCACCAAACTATTGGTTCTGAATAACGCCCAACTGTTATGTCTGAAAATGGAAGCGAAATTCTCAGTCTGTGCTCGTCTAACTTATCACCTCTGAAAAAAAACAGACCGTCCCAACCAGCTGGGGTGATTCGGTAGTTTTGCCCATTTTCAAAAGGTGTGTTCGCAATGAATGTGATGCCGTGGTTTGGCAGTCTGTTCACCTCCACAACCCGTTGAGCTATATTGCGAGATGCACGTGTGGTACTGAGACCCCATCGTGCCAGGTTGGTCAATGGGTAGAGGTTTGATTGTGTTTAATTATATGTGGCCGTTTGCTCCTTAACATTGTAGGCTGATCTGACGTTCTTACGCCAAACACCACTGTTTTGTATTTGGGCTTTTTGAGCCAAATACCCTAGTTGAGGACCCAAATCATCCTCCTGCGTAGGTCCGGGAGCCCTGGCACTATCCGATCCCACGTACAACAATGAATTACACATTTGCAAATAATCTCATGCGAAGTCGACCGTCGCGTGGTGTCATCAACCGGTCGCCTTTGCTGTTGTATACAACAAGGTGGATGAGCGAAAACAGGGTACTGTTGACGTCCCCTTTTTCACTCTCATATTCTTCTCATCCCACTGCTGGTGCCCTCCGTAGGCCCGTTCTTCGGTACTGAAAGATCCGTTCGCCACCCATTGTCGTTAGTTGCAATATTTCGACCACCATCGTTGCAGAGACTTCGAAATCATTCTCCAAACACCGACGATCACTTCTGACAGCCTCTTAGAAGACAGACACCAGACTGCTCTTGCTTGTACAACGGACTCGCTTTCTGTTTATGATTTCTCTCTCTCAAGTATTGCTGTTAAACTGACGTCACCAAATTCCGTATGCTTCAGGTTGCTCACCTCTGATGATCCAGCGGCCGCTGTCCCTGGTTCTTTTAGGGTTGGTATTGTTCTGAGCCACCGAACTGGAGAGGCTCTGTTAGGAAGATTGACCTTCGATAGTCGGTTCTCTTCAGTCGGTTCTGTAGCATCTGTGAGAATATCATAAACGCGCCAGTAATTACTGCCTCCAACAGACTATCTTCGACACACTCAAAGGAGATTTTTTACGACGTTTTGGGCGCCGTTTTGTGCCGCGCTAATAGCCAGAATATTTTGTTTGTCAGGCATAAGAGCGCACAAGGGAATGGAATCGGCGCTGCTGAGGTTTATTTGGACAGTCGTCTTGGACTGAAATCGAGACACACGGAAAATGGTGAAAGTATATGCTGACCACAGACTGTTTCTGTTCGACACTAACCTCCAAAACAACCTAAGCCGCTTGGCAACATGGTACCCCGACACGCAAACCAACTCCCAACATCGCCACTAGCTGTGTGGTGTTAATCAATTACCGATTCTCGCTTCTGGAACATGCATGTGGATTCCGATCACGTGTTTCTTCATTACTGCTTTTCATTGCGCCTTTCAATGATTCGCACACCTCACTTGGCTACTAAGAAGCTCCTGAATCTTGATGTAAAACAAGCCTACCAGAACCACCTACTGAAATTTCTTTCGGACAGTACAGATTCCACTGTTGATTGCTACTAGAAGCTGCTCCTCAAAACCCTTCAAAATGCTGGGTGAAATCCTCAGTCGATGCGTGGCTAACTTGTTTGTCTCTACCTGGGTTGAAGAGACCGTCTCAGCTAACTCGGGTGATTCGATAGTGATGTCCATTTTCAAACACGGTGATCGTAGTGTGTGACGATGACAGATGAATTAGTTTGACCCCCATTGCAACCAAATTCTTGGTCGCTTATTCTAGGTCATCTTACGAAGACTAGACCCGAGAACGTTAAGCAGGATCCTAACCAGTAACGTGCTGTGTGGACCAGGTCTTCACATTTAGTTCACAATGCTCATACAATTGGTTATACCCTAACACTACCTAACTATCCTACACTGTTTGTTCCCGTATATTCGTGATCGCGTGGAAGTGTGTGTGGAGCTCTCCAAAAGCTCCTCTACAAACAGGGGTGCCCACTCCACTTTTGCTTGGTTTCGCCATTGATGACGTAATGAGACGAATCCTGGAAATTCTTTAAAACTAGATATTTCTGGTCAATGACCATGTCAGCCTGGAATATGCCAATGACATTGCTCCTGTTTTCTTGTAAAAGCAGGAAGAATTACTAGAAAACTTAACGACGGTTATCCAGTCCTCTAGTTTGTGCTTTGCACCCATAAACTGCAGTTGTGCTGCCTGCAAGGATTCGAGGAGTGACGCTGGAAGTTGCACAACCTGTCTCCGAAGTTGTATTAGCTCCGACGAAGTCAACGCACGCATTGCCGTAGAGACTTGACCTTAGCGTGGTGTAACAGTATATGCGCCTTTGTAACCCATTGAGCTATACTCTGACTATCGATGTGATCAATGCTTAGATGACCAACACAGTCACCTGGTCCCCCACGTTGGTGATGGAACAGACGTGGCGTCTTCGTCTTCAAAGAATATGCACTGGTATGTCCCGCAAAACACCATTGCCTTGCTGACAGGTCTTTGAGCCGAAGATTTTGGACGGTGAGCGTGATTTTCCTCCTGTCTAGCCCTAGGCGCACCGCAGTATCTAAGCCCATGTATACCCAACATAAAGCGGCTTCCTTGAGGTGGTGGTCGGCCTTGAGTGCTGCAATGACCCCACGGGCTACACTGGCTTAAACTTCGTGGAAGGAGCTTTGCTAGCGGTGTTTAGCGCTGTCTGTTTGGCTTCTCCGATACGATCAACTGACTACTGGATAGAGTCAAGATCGCTAGTCGTGATTGATGCTAGGAAATCCCTACCAACAAGCAGAGTACGGCGGCGCACGGAAATCCCTCAGATGCCAAACAGTGAAGAGCCTAAGGAGAGATTTAGAACTTTGTTGAACATCGGAACCTCGAGAGACGGAGAAAGCTTTTGCTACTCGAAACAGCCCTGGCCTATACTAATTAATACGATCGGCTTGTCCTAGGAAATCGACGGTCACTGAAGCGATCGGTGAAAACGGTGGCCCTTTAATTCACTCCCAAAAACGCCGGCTAGAAATACGGGCCGAAAACTTCGAAGACCAATCTAGCTGCTCTCCTGCAACACAGCTTCTGGAGGTAGTGGATACGGGCGAATGCATCCAGTCCTCTTCAAAGAATGCGGAGAACATCATCATCGACAGCATGACATCAGTGTTCAGCACCAATGCTTCATTGAAGAGAAGAAGAGAGAGAATGTGGTGACTCAACAGTCGTCCGCTTCTTCGAGAGGGTACACGGACGCTGTTTGTAAACCTAGTAGTTGTAGCATCGAAGATGCTCTATCGTTTTATCCTTTGAAGTTTGACTGATCACAAGGAGAGACATTCGTGAATACCGTGTTGAGTTCCCCCAAGAGGATGCATCGATCACATTTTCACCCTTCGTCAGATTCTGGAGTAGCTACACTGCTTCCAGCAATCTTCCTTGACTTGAAAGTTGCCTTCAACTCTGGATCCTCACTATAACAGTATCTACGGAGCAAGGGTGTCTCCCATGTATTCTTGACCCTTATTAAGGTCGCCTGAAGGCGTACATGAAGCTCTCTCCTGAGTTCACTACTCAGGTAGTTTAAGGCAAGACTCCTATTCCACTCTTCCCAGGCCATTCACTGACAGATGTCGAATGCGCCAACGATATCTGTTTTCGTTTGGTCTAACACCATTGTAATGCAGACAACATCTAAATAATTCTGCCTCATGGTATTTTGAATCTAATTTGAACTCATGATGATTCCTCCATTCATTTGCTTACTCTGCCCATGTACTTTCGGTCACCAGTTTTTCGCCCATCTATATCCGCCACTCCTTGCCGCAAAGGTCGTCCCGTCCGACACTTGTGTGTTTGCCTGTGTGTCCGTGGGCAACTGACCCACCTGTCCCCTTTGCTGAGGCTACCTTTACTTGTTTTCTCATGAGTTCCTTGTAATCGCACCGTCAGTCAGAATCACGAGACTGTTGTCAGAAAGGACGACCGCAATGCACATTACTGAGCGAACATTCCGCTCGCCATTGGTGTGTGGACGTTGACACTGCACTGTGCCGGTCAGTGACAGTTGACGACACGAATATGAACAATTCAGGTTCCTTGTATACGTCTGCTTACCTTTTTGTAAATGGTACCGTAGAATTT